CGAAAATTAAATTCTTTCACCTATATCTAACCTGACTCAAAATTAAGAGGACCTCACCCGATTCAAAACTTGACCTGATTTTTCAGGTTAAAATCAGTGTCTGATTAAACCCGACTTAAATATATATATATATATATATATATATATATATATATTAGGTAAAATAAGGATCTAATTGAAAAATAATATAAAAAGGGATATTATTATAATTATCTCTAAATATATAAGTGATTATTATAATATTATATCAGATGGAGTTTCTAAATCCAAATCTGAATCTATCTGATCACGCTTTTAAAGAAATTCAACCTGATCCATACCCAATTTATTTAAAATAAAAACTTAATTTAATCGAATCAGATCAAATCAAATCAAATTGAATATTATCAAATCCAAATCAAATATCCATCGAAGATATCACTTCAATGAAATTAACTAAAAATATTACCAATTTGAACTCATTAATAACATTACAAAAGTGGAGGAATAAATAATGTCAAATTAAAGTAAAAGGGATGAAATATAAAATTTTAAAGTTATGGAGGGACTAAACCCATAATAATAAACCGTTCACAAACAGCAAGGCAGGCACCGCATTATCAATACTGAATCGACACCCTCTATGTGCAGCGGCCAGTCTCCCGTACTTTTATTTTCCACTGTTTATCCGAAAGTTGAAGAAAAAAAATAAAAGAAAAGAATTGAAGATAGCAATGAGAGAAAGTGTGCTTGGATTTTGCTTACGATCATTATTTATTGCTTATTTCATTGAGTTTTCTTCCGCTATCGTTGTATTGGAGCCCTTCTCCATTGCCTTTCCCGACCTTCCCGCCAAATTCGGTAACTTTTCTTTTTGTATTCCCTGTTTGTTAACTCGGAAAACGTAAGAAAACTTAACAGAACAAACGAGTAAGCTTATTCTGGGCAGCCCCTATTCTGTTTATATGCTCTACTTTGAACTAAAATTTTTGCAAAAAGTCTAATTTTTTAAAAACTTTTTTAAAAAAGAAAGTTAACTCTTTTTTTTTGGTTTAGTTCGTGGGAATAGCACGGCCCTTTGCGGTGCAACTGAAGTAGCTGATCCATTGGATGCTTGTACACCGCTCCGTAATGAATTCGGGTCCAACAAAACTGACTCCACAAGGTTTGCTTTGATAATTAGAGGCAATTGTTCTTTCGACGAAAAAATTCGAAAAAGCTCAAAGCGGTGGTTTTTCTGCTGCAATTGTTTACGATGACAAAGATATTAACAATTTAGTATACAGTAAGTGAATTTGCTTTATGTTTTTTCCTTCATTATAGAATTTAGTATTATTAGTATAATTTGGAGAATTATTACTGAGGTATATTGTTGTTTGAAGTGACGGTGAACCCTAAGGGAATCAAAGTTTTGGCGGTTTTTGTTTCAAAATCTGCTGGTGAATTTTTGAAAGATCATGCTACAGGAGAAAAAGAGGAATGCTGCATTTATTTGCAGCCAAATGTGAATCCATTGACAGTTTTTGCCATATGCTTCCTATCACTTGTCGTTATAGCAGTTTTCCTGGTGACAGCCATGATTCCTCCCAGAATTTTGTCGAATTGGCGAAGAAAAAAATTAGTTAAAAGCGTGGATAGGAAGATAGTTGAAGCTCTTCCTCGTGTAATGTTTAGTTCTGCTCGTTTGAGTCATTGCCATACTGGAGAAACTTGTGCAATATGCCTTGAGGATTATAAGGATGGGGAAATTCTTAAAATTCTTCCTTGTCAACACGGTAGGATTTGCTCATGTGGCTTAGCTGTAGCCTTTAATGTTAGATTTGCAGTGCTTGTTTTCTTGTTTATATCATTGTTTTAACTACAACCATGCAAGGATTTTTTTTTTTTTGCTTTGACGGGTTAGCTCGACTTTTCATTGAGTTGGGCAATTACTTCATATGTAGATAGTGGAAAGATATACTATGTTTAGTTTATGGTAAGTTCCTTCATGGTAAAGTGTAAAGATCTGCACAGATTAAAAATATGAGAAAGAATGATATAGAGGAAACATTTAAATCCATAGAGCTATAGTTGTATCAAAGCATGCATTGTCGTTTTTGCAGTAATGCACATATTTCAACCATTCTACTTAGAAATGAATCTGTTCCTATCATCGGCAATAGGAAAAAGGTAGATAAATTGCAGTTTGTAAACAGATGAATATTTATATCACATTCTAATGTCGTTTCGTCAATCATTTTTATTTGAATTCTTGTTTCTATACTTACAGATATTAGCTAATCAACATGATAGTTGCTTGCAGATTTTCATTCAAGCTGTGTGGAGTCATGGCTGACTAAGTGGGGGACATTTTGCCCTGTATGCAAACTCGATATGATAACCAAAACCACATTTTCCGAGGTTAATGAGCAAAGGCCTTAGTTGTATGTATGTATGCAGATCCGGTTTTGCTCATTGAGTTTCAACATTGTAGAGTTATATACTCTTTAACAGGCATGCCTATATTTTCCATTTTATGCTATTGTTTTTTCCATTTTAATCTGAACTTTAAGCTATTGTAAATATGAAATCATATATAGTTATTATTTCACTGAAAGGAATTATAGTGACTGCTGTTATGTCCCATTGTTGATGATGTAAAATCGGACATTTTGCATGTACCATCATGTTTGTCATGATATTAAGATTGGTTGGTTGGTAAATTTAATGCCGGGCATTGCTTATCCTCTTTGATTTCATGTTCAGCATTCAGTTAACTAAGTACATACATAGTTTTAAGTATTACAGGTAACGGCATTTGAAAAAATCTAGATTGCTTGTTCAACAATGGACATATTTGCAATTCCAATAGCATAAAAGCATATGTAAATTGTAAAGCATAAATATGATTCCTGTATCCTGCTGAAACTGTTACAGGCTTGTTCGTTTTTTGAAACTTGTGTTGAATCTCAACCTTAAATTAGTACCTAAGCCGACCTACACTTGACTTGTGTGCTTGCTATTTTGTGTGTGTGTGTGGTTGACCTACAATGGACATATTTTGCTTACCATCTCTCCTTAACTGCTATGATAAGAATCTTTATCCAAATTGTTGTATCGATGCCGAGCTTTGTTCCGTCCTCCTTCGACGGATGAAGAGGAACAGCAGGGTTGGTGCACGTTTTGATTTCTTCCTAATTTCATGTTTCGATATGTTTTCCACTTGCGAACGCCATCCGTAGCTATCCGAATTTTGATTCTGCGCCCTACCAACCAAAAGTCCGAGACGATGCAGTTTGATGTAGAGCCGGTAAAATTGTTGGTGATGATACCCAACTAAAGCTACTTCCATCCATTAAACTGATCCGGCGGAGTCATCTTCCCATCTAATTTTCAACCGAAGGCTCCGATCCGCCGGTATGAAATCCTTTTAAATTGTACTTCGGTTTAGTCGAAAATTGCCGAAAATTTTAAAAGCCAAAACCAAAATGGTCGGTTGCCTTTCATGATAGCGATTCACCATGTGTGTTTTTTTCTTGATAAATTACACGTTTAATAATTAAACTATTGATTTTGTTTCGTTTTGGTATTAATTTTTTTTAAATCACACCTAATGTTTAGTTTAAGTTTCAGTTTGATAACTTGTTATTAAAAATTTAACAATAATATTGACGTATCATCATAAAATAATGATGACAGTGTCATGTCATCATTGAAAAAATAAAAAAAAATGTCATGTCAGTGGTTTTGTTAAATTTTTTAATGGTGAGTACATAATCGAAACCTAAATTAAACATTATGATAATTTTAAAAAATAAAATTTAGATACTAAAACGGAATAAAAATAATAATTTCACTATTAAACATATAATTTACTCTTTTTTATGAATAATTACTGTCTAGAGAAAAAATATTAACTGAGTTTTTAATCATATATATTTGTTGACCATTTGTGTGTTTTGTATCTTGGTAACATAACGAAGAATAATAATTTTGTTGTAATTAACGAAGAAGAAAGAGGAAAGTACATGGAATGTCATTGTCGGCCAATTAGAATGGTAAAAGGATAAGAAAATAACATTATGATGGAAAATTCTATAATAAATGTTGCATGCTAATTTTCTCCTCCTCTCCTTACGTATTATTACTTTTATAATGATTTTTTTTAAATATTCTAATCTATTTACATTGAGAGTACATATTCATATATAATATTAATAATTTATATAAATGTATGATATTCATTATAAAATTATCTTATCATGACGCTATGGAGGAGTGGTAATTGGCTGACAGTTGAGGTACAGAGTCCCGACAACGAGAAGAAGATAGATGTTAGTTAGGTTGCAATTTAATTTCAGAGATGACGTGGCACCATGCCATTGGTTCTGCTATGTATGAGTGTCGTTATTTCCCCCCCCCCCGGCGTAGTGATGGACCAAGTAGGGAGTAGAGTAAGGCGAAATCAATATTTAACTAAATTCATTACTAACCATTTCTGTTACTTAATTTTTCATGAAACGTAGAGCTTTAATTTTATAGCTCAATTTTGTCGAACCCCAATCCGTTATGAGCCTGAATGGATTAAAAATATGTAATCTCGGACGCCATTGGAATTTAATGATTATTCCTTAAAAAAACTGCTTCTGTGAAAGACTAGTAACTTTGTAGATTCTGTGTGTTCGTCTCATGATGATTTAATGATCAGCACACAAAACAACTATAAATAAATACACAAATCCCTGTCATAGGTAATTGTCACAATATTTGAAAGAAGTTCCGTCTCTCCCTCTGTCCATAAATCTTAAAAACAAGTGAATAATGTGCTGAATTTGTGCATAAAATCCGGTCCAAACCACCATTTTCATATTCTTTTTTTATGATATTTACACCAAAGAACCTCCCTCAGAAAATGGTGCAAGTGAAAAGACAAAGTCACGTTGCGCTTTCCAAATGTACAAATAACAACTCCCAAGTAACCAGTCTTGTAAACAACTTCAATGACTCATGCACGTGTTCTTAATTTTTCTTCACCTGAACGGTCTCAATTTCATGGCACAGCCCAACCTACACCATCAAATCTCTGCTATATTTATTGAAAACCCCATTCCGTGTTTGTTAATTGCTCAATCTATTCAATGCTCTGAAGAAGAAGAAGAAGAAGAAGAAGAAAGATAGGGAATGGAGAAAGGAGAGCCTGTGCTTAGAGAAGGGAAATCCTTGGAAGAAACCCCAACTTGGGCTCTTGCAACTGTGATCACTGTTATGGTTGCATTCGGTTTCCTGGTTCATCACTCTTTGAAAAGATTTGGGCGTGTAAAGAACACATCTTTCATCTCTCATCATGTTTCAATATTTTCAATGTATTTGATTTTCCATCTTTTTTTTTTCATTTTATAGTGGCTGGAAAAGACTAAGAGGAAATCTGTGCTCGCAGCCTTGGAGAAGATTGAAGATGGTAAACTTTTGTTTCAGATTGATTTTTATGTTATGGTTTCATTGTCACAAGCGTTATCAGTGTTATTATCTGTGAGCAGAATTGATGCTTTTTGGGGTTCTTTCGTTATTGATGGGCCATTGGATTGAATTTTTTGCTAAAATTTGCATCAAATCATCCTCCCTGAATAGCCGATTCTATCCCTGCCCAAAGCAACACAATCGGATCAATTTGCAACAGATGTTTGTTTTAAGTTCAAAGTACAGCGTGAGGTTGAACAGCACGGTTGCCAGAGAGCTTGAGGCTGCTGCTCATAGGCGGCATGAGCCGCATGACTACTGTCCTGAGGTACCCTCACTTGAGGCCATTTTGATTATAGTTTTGAGATGCCTGACCACTTTGATGCTCTGCATACCCTGTCAAGTCTTTCTAGTCTTATTGAATTTCATTTTACATTTGCAAATGGCATGCAGGGCAAAGATTCTTTTGCTTCATATGAAAGCCTTGAGCAGCTTCACCATTTTATATTCTTGCTCGGTGTCACCCATGTTTCTTACACATTTATCGCCATCGCATTAGCTATGATCAAGGTTAATGTATCACCTTAACCTTGATGATACAAATCCTAATAACCGCCTTGATTTGGCTCTTAATATTTGCCAAGAAAGCAGTAGATTACAGTCTAGTTTTTGCAGATATATAGCTGGAGAGCATGGGAGAATCATGCCAAGGCATCTGCCGCTCAACCTTTACAAGGTGCAACGTTTCTAGCTGTCCCTGCACTTCTAATCCTATTCGTTTTTCATTAGTTATTCGTACTATGATAGAGTATCAATCTCAGCCCTATTACATTAACACTTTAAATCTAGAATCTTCACCAACAGTCGAATCCAGTTTGAAAATTAGGCGACAGAGTACTTTCATTGCGCACAATGTTTCCCATCCATGGAGCCAACATGGAGTTCTTGTTTGGCTGGTATACCTTCTTGAGATCTACCTGCCATCTTTTGCCTAGCACTTGTATATGGTTTTTCATTATCATACACAAAAGGTGACTGTGGTTTTTCATATTCTTGCAGCTTTGCTTCAGCCGCCAGTTCTGGAGTTCTATAAACCAAGCTGACTATATGGCTTTGCGCTTGGGGTTCATTACAGTATGTCCACTAGGTTCAACTTGAGGTTTACTATATACTGTTATAAGCAACTGCCATAGTCCCAAGCCATAATCTCAGCGTTCCCCTTCACGACGCATGTAATGGGACATACAATGTGTTCTGTCCCAACATATTTACTTTCCAATAGAGTGCGAAAGAGATTGGCATGTGGTTAGATTTGTATAGTTAAATACTAATTTCCTTTTTACTTTCACTCTTCCTAGACCCATGAGCTGCCTTTGACATATGATTTCCATAATTATATGGTACGAAGCATGGAAGACGAATTCCGCGATATAGTTGGCATTAGGTATTGTATCTACTCTGCTATGCACACTAGTAACCACTTCGAATTTATAGATGCATGATTTGTATTGGTATTTCTCCTTCAATACCTACAGATTGATTTGGTTATATTGGATTTCTATTGCAGCGTGCCCTTCTGGATTTATTGCATATTGTGCGTCTTTCTTGACTTCCACGGTAATTTTCTGTGTGCTGTGAAATTGATCCATTAGGCACATTAGCTTGGCTATTGCGGTGTTTTCACCTCTGTTACCCAAACTCGGGTTTGTGTCCGTTTACGTATCGGACACATTGTAGTTTGTACCTTATGAATATATTATATGAACTGGAGACGAGTGTCTTTTAGGAAAAGAATTAACATTGGATTGCACTCCGCTGATGCATGTAGGCTAAGACACCATTTTAGCTACATAATATTGTGTTTTTCGTATTGTGAGATCTTTTGAAGCTAAAATCAATTAAACCAAATTGTCATGAAGAGAACTTTGATGTCCCTTGAGCCTTGAGGTTTTCTTGACATCCATGGAAACCGAATGGCGATTTGAGGCCTCGACTAAATGAAGCTTTCTGCAATTTCCACCTTTTTCTCTGTTGACAACTACCTGTAATTGCTTGTAATGACCTCAGAAACACATGCAAGTCTATATTCATGCATCATCAATGCTTCCCTTTTTCATTAATTATCAATTGTATTTCTTGCTTGATGTTGTCATGAAGTCAACTTCTGAAGGATTCATTTTCTTTTGCCAGGAACCCATATTTACTTTTGGCTTTCGTTCCTTCCTGCCATTGTATGTCTTCATCGATGCATCGGGCTTCTATTCTTATGGAAACTAACGCATTCCTGATTTTCTTCCTTGTTTCTGCGTTTTCTTCCATTGTTGATGCATGTAAAAGTTGATTCTGCTAATTGGGACAAAACTGCACCGCGTTGTCGTAAAATTGGCCGTCGAAAACATGCAAAATAGTCCATCTGAGGGTTTCCATAAATTTAATCTGAGGGATGAACTCTTTTGGTTCGGAAGGCCCCGGCTTCTCTTACGTTTGATACAACTTATTTCTTTTCAAGTGAGTATACCGATACAGATAACATTTTATGTGGCTTTAAATTGTACTACAAAATTCGATTTTTGGTCCATTAACATGCATTCTTGCTAACAGAATGCATTTGAGATGGCTTCATTCCTTTGGTCACTGGTAAGACTTTTACAATGATCCTCATTTTGAATAGCAATGTGGCAGCCATTTGTAAACTGATACTTTATCATCTTCCTTAATTCTTTCATTAGTTCCAAACAAACTTAGATAGAACAAGATTTTTTTTCCCTGGTTTTTATGCCATTTTATGGTTCTGATTCTGAGTCGTTGCTTTCAGTGGGAAATTAAGGATCCTTCTTGCTTCATGGAGAACCGTGCCTTCCTTGTGACTCGTTTGGCATTCGGGTAATCATGAAATTTCAATAGTGTTAGGCTCTCTGCATTTGTTTTTTTTTTTAGTTATTTCATCAACAATCTTATGGTGTATATTTCTGCTGGTTCATGCAGTATAATCTCCCAGTGCTGGTGTAGCTACATAACATTCCCACTCTATGTTATAGTTACACAGGTTAGGCCATTGAATGCTTATGCTTCATAGTCATAATCTTCATCTTTCTTTATATTTCTCAAATGTTGGGTCCTTCAATGCTACTTAGATGGGTTCGAAGTTCAAAAGTGGATTAGTTTCTGAAAATGTGAGACGATCGCTATCCAAATGGAAAAGAAGAGTGCAGGAAAAGCAGAGTGCCTCAAATTCAGTCAGGGAATCACCCTCAACCTCGTCTTTGGACTCCATGGGAACCGAGCTAAGCAAAGGCCACGGCGTTGGCACTAGCCGCTATGGGCTGAGAACCACATCAGATAAAGATTCAGCATCACCGTCTCAGCATCATCAAGAGGCCTATGCAATGCAATACTCACCATCTTCGTTTAAAGGCAACAAGTTGAAGGCTCCACATAGCTATTACTCCGAGGATGATTACAGTCCTGATTATGACCATGTGGATGCCCGTAATAACGATGAAAGTTTTGATGCTGAAGATGAAATACATCACATTGAACCTTGATCCTTGCGGCTGATGAAAAACAAAGCACAACGAAAATTTCGAAGTATTGTATTATAAGATAACTGCAAATATAATGATAGCACAAGTACAAGAGATATCAAGATTTTACTTAAAAAATCCTTTACGAAAAAAAATCACATGTAATTTCTTTTTTATTTTGCTAATGTCGAACATAGAATGATATAAGAGGATTTGTGGAATCGACTTGACTTTCAACCCTACTCCTAGTATCTAATTATATGGATAATTATTTGATTACAATAGAAATTTGCTTAGTAAAAATATACTCAAATTAGGTTTTTTTTTTACTTTTATCAATGATCATTATTAAAAAGTATGATTTAAATAAAATTAAAATTATAAAAACTCTAATAATATTCACCTTGATACAAATTCTGAAAGTGCGAGGAGTTTAAGACAAGTAAACTCGAATTCAAAGAAAAGTCCAAATTCAAAAAAAAAAACTCTTCATTTCGACGAACAATTCCCCACCTCGAGAGCATATTCTCCATCTCTTTCTTGAAAAATCTAAAAGTGATTTCCATTTGAATCCAAGTTTTACCCTAACTTAGATAAACGAGATAATTTAATCTTCATATTACTAAAATCTTCCTAAATGTCACAATCGTATCACTACAAGTAATATTATCCACAACGCGAAACATAACAGTAAATATTGTTTTGAAAAAAAAAAACAGTTTGATAATTAAAATAGAAATTTGAGGATAGGGGATGATTAATTAAATAGTTTATCATATTTTTAAAGGAAAACATAATTATCCCTGTTTTCATTTTGAATCTTCCTAGTCTAACTTCTTGTCTATGTAAAGGCAATATAGCCCAAAGACAGGTCCTGAATAGCAAAAGCAAAAACAAATCAACGAGTAGAAGAAAATGGCGAGGTACGACAGAGCGATTACTGTGTTCTCGCCGGACGGCCATTTGTTCCAAGTGGAGTACGCCCTCGAAGCCGTTCGTAAAGTAATGCCGCCGTCGGCGTCCGCGGCACCGACATCGTCGTTCTTGGCGTCGAGAAAAAATCCGCTGCCCAGCTCCAGGACTCCAGGTTTTCTTTACTATTCTTTCTCTCCACTTACTTATTTCCATTTTGTCTCTTAAAAATGGACTGTTTATGTTTAGAACGGCATAAATTTAGGTTTTGGGTTTTATTGATTTGTAAATAAAAGGGTTACATCATTATTTAGCTTAAGTTTTATCTTTATCATGTAAAAAGACATGAACTTCTGGCCCAAGTAAGGATACCGACAAGATTTTATTGATGATGTGGAAACTGAAAACTTCAGTAATTTTATGATTAAAAAGAACTTGTATTAGGAAAATCGTTGAGTTCTTTAATTTCTTCAAATTGGGTTGTGTTTTACCCTTTTACTATTATTGTGTTGATCGGTTAGGAAGATTGTAAACTTGGATAATCACATTGCATTGGCATGTGCTGGGCTCAAAGCCGATGCCCATGTCCTCATAAATAGGGCTCGGATTGAATGTCAAAGCCACAGGCTGACTGTCGAAGATCCAGGTACTGTTGAGTATCTTACTCGATACATTGCAGGTCTTCAGCAGAAGTACACTCAAAGTGGAGGTGTTAGGCCGTTTGGTCTCTCAACTCTGATTGTGGGCTTTGATCCATACTCCGGTGTACCATCACTATATCAGACAGATCAGGGACATTTTCAGCTTGGAAAGCTAATGCCACCGGGAGAAACTCTAACTTGATTAGGGAGTTCCTAGAGAAGAACTATAAGGAAACCTCTGGACAAGAAACCATCAAGCTTGCAATTCGTGCATTGCTTGAGGTAAGTTCCGTTGCCTTGTTCTTCTTTTGTTAACTTTTACTTTGTTTTCTAGTGTTGTTGTTCCTTGATCTCTGGTCAGTTGTCATTTAGGCTTTTCTTGGTTGAGTGGAAAGATGGAAGGAGAGTGGAGAAGTGGAAGGAAAATAAATTTCAAGTGTGCTTGGCAGGAAAGGAAGTGAGAGGGGTGATCATTTTCCATCCTTATATGTAAAAACAAGCCACTCCAATTTGGAAGGAAAAGCTGAGGGAAAATGTGAGAGGTGATGTAGTTCAAAATATGTATTTTTCAAAACTTATTTTCTTTTACTCTCATTTTTCAACTCTACCAAGCAATGATTGGAAAGGAAAGTGCATTTTCTTTCATTTTTTTGATCCATCCTACCAAGCACATCAATGGAAAGGAAAATTTAATTTTCCATCTTTTCACTTTTATACCCATCTAGTTTTCTGCCCTTTCAATTTTCTTTCCAGTCTAGCAAGCAAAGCCTTGATGAATTCGATGATACAAATTCTGCTGCTTCTCACTTGTCAGTTGTTTAAGCCACAGATATATGAATAAAAGCTATCTTTAACTTGAAGCCATTCTCCTTCGTAGCTTATGCATCATATGTTTTAAGATCATTCATGGATTTGTAAGCCTTATAGAAGTCACATGATTTATCAACATGTGTCTCTAGAAAATGGAACATACCTTAATGAAAATTATTAAGTGCAGCGAAATGAAGTGGAACTTATATGATATTGCTATTTATATTTCCCCCAGAGAGTAATCTTTTCATTAGTGCTTTAGTTTGGAGCATAGGCACTCAAGAAAGAAATTGTTTTTAAGTATTCTTTGTGCCATATCATGCAGTAATCATTTCATTGACTGCAGGGCTATTCGGAAGCACGAGGGCAGTAAAAAATGTTATTTCATGTAATAATTATGCACTCGGTGCTACATTATGGAAAACTGCGTCAGAGATTTACTTGTCTGAATTAGTTGGGATTATGCTTTTTGCTACCACTCCTCTGAACATAACATATGCATGTAGTTGATTACATGGCTTACTAACATGGTAAAAGTGCATGTTTTATGTCAAATAATGACTACTCGTCTTTATCCGTGTCTCTTGCATGGAGGTTGTTGAGAGTGGGGGAAAGAATATTGAAGTTGCTGTGATGACAAAAGAGCATAGCCTGCGGCAGCTTGATGAAGCTGAAATTGATGCCATTGCAGCCGAGATTGAAGCTGAGAAGGAAGCTGCAGAGGCTGCAAAGAAAGCCCCTCCAATGAACAAGTGAAGCATCAGCTGTTTGACCTCTTTTTACATCTCTCCTTTGTTCTTTTTAGGGTTCTCCCCCCCCCCCTTTTTGTACTCACCCTCGAACTTCCATTCACCTGTTGGAGATTCATTATACAAATCATAAATTTATTTACCATTGTTGCCTTTTTTTTTGGTTGATTTATTTCACTTTTGAAGTTGAATAATTGATTAGTTAAAGCCATTTGTAAAATGTTTCTATGTTAAAGTAAAATTGTCAATACAATTCAGATGGATGAGACTTGCTGTTGCAAATATTAATTGCTATAAAACACTTCTAAAAGACAACTAAGAACGTGTTTTTGACCTCTTATTCTAATGCACTGTAGATTACCCAGCTACTATCTAAGGCGATCTTTCTTCGGTTTTATGGTTCATAAAGAAAAAAAAGATGAAAGTGGCCCATGCAGGTCTCGAACCCTGCGACTTTCGCGTTATTAGCACGACGCTCTAACCAACTGAGCTAATAGGCCAGTTTTGTTTAATTTTATAAAATATTTTAGTAACTATTTTTTTAATTCAATTTAACGTTCCATCTAGAAACGAAAACTGGAAAGCAAGATCCAATAATGAAATAAAGAGGAGAAATCGAAACTCCAGAGAAGTCAAATGCAAAGCATGAAAGAAGATTACGAGGTACTCCTACTTGTTTCAATTATTTTACGGTTAATATAATATTTAATAATGAAGTCATTAGTTGATGCAACCCTTGGTTGAATCCCTTCCGTTCATGATATCAATCCTATTGTTACTAGTTTTCGATTAAAGAAAGAGATTCTGATACCCTCTCTTCTCGCCTTCTTGTATTAAGCTCTACCTACTTTAATTTCTAAATAGTCTCTGCAACTGGGCATCAATTATTCCTTCTTATAACCACGTTTTAATTGCTAATTTTCATGTAAAATATGCCTCTTTTCAGCTTTGGCTTCTGTTGAAAATTAGTTTCCATGTATTTAATTTGATTGGTTCTTCTGGGCAATTGTTTTCTAGGTTTAGAATGTGAAAAATCATTAGCAATTCTCTGTGCTGTGAAGTTATTCTGATAGGGAGCAGCGTAAATTAGAAGTTCTAAGTGTTGCTCTTCTATCAATATTTTGTGGATCAAGACAATTTCAGCATTTCAAATTCATTTCATTTTCTTCTACTCTGGAATCATAGTATGTTCGATCACTTGGAAGAAAGAGACTCATCTGAGGTTGAAACAAGGATTTTTTTTGTTGGGGGGGGGGGGGAGAGACTTTCTAGCTAATGGATTTATGAAATTGATTTTGGCAGATTGGTTTCCAACTTTGCGTATCTTTATTTTGAGAGCCATAGCTGCATCTGCTATCTCTTATTGGTTCACTAGGAAGGATATGGTGTTCCGATTACGGAATCATTCCTAAAGCATGGGATGATCCATCAGCTAGATCCGAGTTGTGGAACAGATATGATTATATATGCGGATCAATAAAATAAGGGTTATACCTTTTTCTCGTCCTCTCAATTCATTTGTAAACACAAAATCAGTGTGCAAGTTTGTCTCCATGTGATGGTGTTAGTACTCCTAATCGAAGTTGGAATTATGTTTCTTCTTTTAGTATCTTTTACATAATGACTTATGCTAACCGGTCAGACTCTAGGAGTGTGTGGTTGTGTTTTAATCTCCTCCTTGACGGAAAGCTGTTTTGACCTACTTCATTTTGTTTATCATAATATCTTGTATGTCAGACTGAAGAGAAAAAACAAGCCGCTGCCGATGTACTGTTTCAATATTCAAAATTTGCAATGGCATGCATAGGAAACCAAGTCCGACCTTGTGATCTGAGGCTGCATTTGATGAAGGTAACTTGAAAAAAAGGTTACAATAATATCTATTATATGCCTTTGAAATGATGTTTTGTAGTGGTTGCATTAGCTACCATGAATATTGTCATGTGAACTCACCTGCCATGCATATGAAGAGTAAAGGGTTCAATATCAAGGGCCAAATTTCTGCCAAGATAATTGACAAAAGCTTTTTCCAATTGTTTAGGAAATATCAGGGCTGCCAACTTCCCTGAAGAGAGCTTCATCCCAAGTTGCTGCTTCTCCTGATTCAATGGGCGAGTCATCAAGCTCAGGTACATCAAGACTTGATAAGAAAGCTGATAAAGCTGATATATGAGGTGAATTGAGAGCGATTCTCATATCACTTGAAGCACCATTATAATTTTTGAAAGTTTCAAGTTATACGTAAACTGTGTGCTTCTTATCGTACTAGATTCTTAATGCAACTTCGGATGTTCCGAAGATGTTTGATGGTAGAAAAATTGTTTAGATTGTTTGGTATAAGTGGCATTTCTGTGTACAATGACGATGACAAATAAAGCATTTGTTGCTTGAAAGTTGTCTTCAATATACTAATAGAATCATGACACCGTCATCATCAATCAATCATCTTATGGGGAGAATGCAATGAAGCTCATTTGATTCATCTTTCGAGATTGATATGCCTTTATCAACCATTGATCCTTTCTCAACCATTGATCCCCCATATTACCAACATTTTATGAAGATCGGGAAGTTTTCTTATCCTATTCTAGTTAAAAGAAAACAGTAAAAAGCATATGATCTTAGTTAATGGACCATTAACCAATGGAGGCTATTCTTTTTGGGAGATGTACATACTTGCTATAATGTGAACATGTGTTTAGTGTTGCATATTTTTATAGTATGAATTATGGAACTTTAAAATGTTCATGTTATGTTATTTTTGAAAAATAATTATAACAAGTTAACCTGTAAATGAACCGTTAACGGTTAGGTTATGGTTAAAAAAATCTCGTAACTGTCCATGAACAACCTTACTTACGTCATTTTCACGTTATGATGCGGTTAAACTTTAACAATTTAATAATATAAGTGAAGTTCAAATTTAGATTTAACGTTAAAATAATATCGTTGATTAGTTTTGTGATAAAATTGATATATGTATATTAAAATTCAATGGTATACTTAGTAGTTTACCCTTTAAATATTCAACTTTTGTAATAATTAATGACGGCTCTTTCTCTTTTACTACTGAAAGTAAAGCTGGTAAGGAAAGAACATGAACTTTGAATTACTAATTAACTTCTCTAACGAGGCTCCCCTCACCCCATTTTACTTTCATTTTATGTCTAGATTTAAATAAACTCAAAAAACATAGATGAATATAACTAATAACAAGCTTAACAATTTCTTCAAGAAAAAATATATTGTAGTTAAGATTTCATAATATTGTTGGAATTTGAGGAGATGATCTGATCATTATCGGAAATGTAATATTTTATAAATAAGCCTCAAAATTTTCAGGATCTCATACAAAACATATTAACGATAAACTGACATTAGAAAAATTATCTTAATTTGGTTGTTTCGTCAATCCTTCTGTGTCAAAGGTGTTGTTTTTCTGAAAACGACCACCCTCTACAAGTATCCACACACGAACAGATGACGAACGATTGTCAGAATACTAGTTCCGCATCAATTTTTCTTAAAACATATTTTTGCGAAGCATGCTGTCAATTGGGATCCCATGTTTGCTGCGACTATTTGGACTTTATGGCTCACATGTAATGCTAAGGTGTTTGATATTCTTATGGAAGGAAATGGTCAATAATTGATCGAAGCAGGCGGCTTGTTCAATTGACTATCCAAGCTTTCGAGGAGAAAAAAATGGTTTCGATCACTGTTCCTCTATTCCTCGTGGTCCTTCTCGTTGGGTACCCCCGCCCTCTCAGTGGGTTAAGCTTAATACGGGTGCTGAGTGGAGAGAGGATGACAGTTACGCTTGATGTGGGGTAGCTCGGGATTGCTCCGGTACGTGGAAATTCGGACAGAATTCTTTTTCGTTCATGTCACCAGTGCCACTTGAGCCAATCGATGCACCATCTTCAAAATAATTCTCAAGTGTCTTCAATCTAATTTTAATTTTCGGACAAAATTAGAGTATTACACTCATGATATCTTGAAAGAATATAAGGCATGAAAATTGTCAGCCTTATATCGTTCTATCTTCAATTTCTCGATGTCCAATTGGACTGACTAAACAAATGGCATTGATCTTCATCAATTCATTTGAGCACAATCATGCATTTCTTAGTCTCAATCATCATCGAGGGGGCCTAAGATATCTCTTTTATGATAAAAGATATAAATTTCATCTTAAGCACTCACATCACGCAACATTATTTTGGTCATGTTCAAGCATAACTTTTATAATCGTACGATTAAAGACAACGTTTGACCATATCAAAGCATAATGTTATGTTGAGAATTATAGAAATTTCAGGTATAAGAATTTAATGACATAACCGTTGAAGATTAATATATGACATTGACCAACGTATTAATCTCAAAACGAGTCGATCCAATATTTATTTTCAACAATTACACATGAATTTATGTTGAATCTCATTAACTTTTTCATCTCATGAATATTTATTAAACTCTATACTTATCTTATTTTATTATTATTCTCATAATAATAATAATAATCAATTAAAGATATTTAAAATAATTAATAATAATATAAAAAATTATTATACAAAAAATATAAATTATAATAATAAATTTAATAATCAAAATATTATATCTATACAATAAGTATAATTATCTCCTCCTCCTCCTCTCTTTTCTAGCCTCATTCAACTTTGACTAAATCCTTGCCCTATCATGTCCACATCTTGCTCCGTTTGCCGCAACATCGACAAAGTTGTTTTGTTCCCTTAGTATCCACTCAAATGTACAACCATCAAATTTAGTATCAATCTTTTTGAATACCTCCCTACGATTAATTGATATTAGAAAAAATAAAATAATATTTTTTAAGTTTAAAATTTTAAATTTAATTGTCATAACCCAATTTTGGAGCTAAATTTATTTAGCTAATTTAAGGATCAAAATGAGTTTTGGAGAAATTATTGGTCATTTTCATTAATTATAAAAGATTAATGGTGTTTAGAGTGATTTACCCATTTTAAGAATTTAAGATTCTAATACCCATGGGTTTAGGCTTCAGTCACGGCCTCTTCCCTATTTTATTATTATTAATGGATTTTCTTTTATTTTACTTCTTATTTGTTTCCCTAATTTACTTTAAAAACCATATCTTTATCGTTTCCATCGAAAGCTGTAACCCTTATTCTTTGTAACTCCCACCGATTTGGCTATTTTTTTTTTGGATCTGATGGCAGGGCAAGAAAACAATTAACAATTGTCGCCAAATCACGGTAAGGCTGACCACCATTTTCAGGAGCCATGTTTTAAAACATTTCTTTTAACATTTATAGTTTCATTAATTCATTTGTTTGTTTTAATCATTATTTGATTCGTTTACCTAGAAAACTAATATTGTATTTCTGCTACAATGATTCGACTATATATTTTTCTCACCTAACTTGTTTATATTTATATTCATACCAAACTTTTAGGATTCCAGCAACACAATTCTCTTTTCTATTAAATCATCCATGGAACAGTTTACAAACCGCATGCCTAGTTGAGTCATCGTTTCGTTGTTATTTGTTTGAAAACTCGATGTCACTTTTCCTACGCTTGATTTAAGCCGAAGCTTTATATTGTCTGCATCTTAACCCATCCACGTAGGTTACGTTAATTTCATCTGTTCATTTGTTAGTGCAGTTTAACTAGGTACATCGAATACTAACATTAATAGTCCTAATAATATTTTATTAATATTTGGTATGAGTAAACGATCAGGTTCCAATATGTTGTCCTGAGTTTGAGATTAAGAGTTTAGGATACATCGATACTAGTACATTTGTAACTTTTAGGAAGCTTCCAAGTCGGTGACTGGTTGACTTGTGTATTTAGGTGACCCGACTTCACCTGAGCGATCATTAGTAAACCTGGATTTGTCTCGTCCTATTTAGTTAGATTCTAACTATTTGATTAGCGTTGCGCGTTTTAATACTGCAGGACCTGCTGATGCCGAGTGTGGGAAATATATAGCTTAACTTGAGTTTTTATCTTGATAAAGGTGTGTTCCTCGACTTGTGCTACAAATCTTGTGTGTGAATGATTTAGGTGTGTTTATGTATGGGTATCGATGGTATGTTATGTGTGTATGCATGTATGTGTATATGTTGTATGTGAGCAAGAGTAGAGAATAGATGCATGTTTTTATTGTTTATTTATTATTGTTATCGTATTATGTATATGTATGAATTACCGATATATATTGTTATGACATTCTTCATGTATGAAGCATTGGGTTGGGCTTGTGAAGAGGAAAAGTAATCGAATAATTGAAATACAGGCTGATGCATTCTTATCGGATGGTAATTCCAATTATCGACTTACAGGATGGTGCATCCTTATTGGATGGTAATCCCAATTACCATATTACAGGCTAGTGCATCCTTAGTGGACGTTAACCTCAATTACCGTATGATAGGCCGGTGCATCCTTAGCGGATGATAATTCCAATTACCGTATTTCAGGCTGGTGCATCCTTAGCGGATGGTAATTCCTATTACCGTATTACAGGTTGGTGCATCCATAACGGATGGTAATCCCAATTATCGTATTACAGGTTGGTGCATCCTTACATGATGGTAATGTCCAATTACCGGGTAGTCATATGACGATGTAAATGAGTGAGAGATTTGCATTACATGCATATTATGTTCGATGATGTGTGAATATACCATGTCTAAAGTACCGTTGTCATGAACTAATTGTTTGTTATGTTTTGTGATGTTTGTTCCACACTTAGAGGACACATTGAGTTTTATAGCTCACCCTTTAGTTTTTTTTACTTTCAAATTCACTTGACCATTAAGAACATTATGGTACTTGGAGGATCGTTAGCGACATATCTATTTGTTCACATCATTATTTTATCGAACTTTATGATATTTTAAACTCTTTTATCAGATTATGAAAAAAAAAATTGTATACAAACTCTTCAGATGATATTTTGGGACTTTGAATTGCATGATTTATCATGCATTATTTCATTAGATATGAATATTTATTATTATTGATTTATTAGTATTTTTTAACTAATGTTTTCTTATTTTTAAACTACTTCAATATTGTTTATATTCTTTAAAAGGGTTGTGTTTTTATAAGTTATCGTTAGTGTGATCTCCAAGATTCAGCCGTAACGTCTAAGCCTAGTCTAGGGGTTATATTAATAACTTACTTATATATCGGGAGGCTCCTTACTACGTGATAACACAAACATGATAAAGTCTATGGCATTGTCTTTACGTTTTGGATGGCATTGTCTTTATGTTTTGGAGAACGACTCTACCACCTGTGTTGTTTCTCCTAATGAAAGCATCCCCTGAAAGTACATAGTACCTTCCAACTTTTTCCCACGTATTGCGAACTCGAACTTGAAAAAAAAAAAGTATCTTCCAATTGAGATGAAAAATATAAAAAAGTTATTCGATCAAAAAATAAAAAATAAAAAATAAAA